CTATGCTATTATTCTATTCTTCATTCTAACACCTATTCTATTCTATTCTATTCTATTCTATTCTATTCCATTCTATTCTATTCTGTTCTATTTTTTATTGCCCTGACACGGAAAGGAAGACGACTTTTCATTTTCCTATTCTTAGCTATCTCTGGCCGTTGAGTATTATAGAGATGTAAGAGAGCTAGAGCGGCACAGCTACCTTCCCTGGCCGACGTGGCTTGGTGCGTGACGAGGCTTTATACCCGGACGTGACGTTTTTGAAAAACGGTCCCTGGGTGGAGCGGAAGGGCAGGAACCGGAAGCTCGGGGCGTCGTCGCCTTAGCAACGCCTTAGCGACGCTAAGGTCCCCGGTGAAGCTGCCGCTGCCATGGCAGAAACGGCACCTCCTTTGACTCCGGCCCCGACCCCGACCCCGACCCCCACCCCGACGCAGTTGGTCCGGCAGGCCAGCGCTCCCAGCCCCGCCCGGGCCTACCACCTGCGCCCGGCCTTCCACCACAGGTCAGCCCGGCTCTCCTACCAGCAGCCCCTTTCCGTGCCTTTCGCGTCTTTCGGGGGCACAACAGCCCTGCGAGGTAGGCCCTGAGCGAGCCTCGTCCTCGGGGGGGGGGGGGGTAGTCTTTGCATGTTTTTTGATTTGAATCCCGCCTCCCTTGCTTTTAAAACTCTGGATTTTAGTGTCTTTTCTTCCCTTTTATTAAAATCTTTGGTGTTGTAAGGCGCCCAGAATGGTGGATAACAGAGAACGAAACAAAACATATGTAAAATAGAATATAAAACAATATAAAATGAAACATAAAATATAAACAATATAAAACAAAACAAAATATAAGATATTATAAAAAATAAAACAAAACATATATAAAATATAATATAAAACAATATAAAATGAAACATAAAATATAAACAATATAAAACGAAACAAAATATAAAATAATATAAAAAATAAAACAAAACAAAATATATATGAAATATAATATAAAACAATATAAAATGAAACAAAATATAAATAATATAAAACAAAACAAAATATAAAATAATATAAAAAATAAAAAATAAAACAAAATATAAAATAATATAAAAAATAAATAAAACAAAACAAAATATTATAAAATATAAAAATAAAACAAAACAAAATATTATAAAATAAAAAAATAAATATTTACAATATAAAATATAAAAATAAAATATTATAAAATATAAAATAATATAAAATATAAAATAAAACAAAATATAATCTTAAGGGAGGCAGAAATGCAGATTTGACTTCGACTTAGACTAACTTAATGGTCACTTTGAATGCACACCAAACAAAATCTCTCTAAAATGTTTTATAGGTGGCACTTGCCACCAGCAAGATTGGCAAAAATGTTCAGCAATATGTCCACCAAGTGCTGGAAGTGTAATCAGACCCTAGGTACTTACTATCATATGTGGTGGGCCTGTACGAAAGCAAGAAAATACTGGGACGGAAATACATACATGGTTGGAAAAAATGATCAAGCAACATATAGATCTGAAACCAGAAATACGTTTGTTGAGTATAATGCCGTAGGACTATAATAAAGGGACTATATATTTAGCTTTGCATGTATTAACAGCAGCAAGGATTGTATTTGCACAATATCGGAAAAATGAGAACATCCCCATCAGATGAGGATGTAATTCGGAAAATATTAGACTATGCAGAGATGGATAGATTGACATTAAAAATAAAGCACAAAGACAGAATATTACTCAACATGGAACAGATTTTACAAGTGGTAAACAGATTTTATAAGAGGTAGAAATTAGATGAAGAAAGATTATTGCTATGTATGAATTAAATATAAAGAGGGTTTACAATTATAAATATGCCAATATAATCAACAGAATTACAAATAAACTAATACAAAGAGAAATCTAGTTAAGACTATTCTCTTACACTATTATTGTTATTACTATATGTGTTAATATTCCTGTTTGTTCTTTCTTTGTTTTTCTGTAAATGATATACCCTGATCATATACTGTATTCAAAACTTTTATGAAGTAAAAATATGTATACTAAAAAAATATATGAATGTACACCAAACGGCCTACATTAAAATGACATTTTGTTGCATCCAGTCTCCACCTCTAATATAAACGGGACAAGATAGATAGATAGATAGATAGATAGATAGATAGATAGATAGATAGATAGATGATAGATAGATAGATAGATAGATAGATAGATAGATAGATAGATAGAT